TACTGCCTGAAATTGAGGAATTTGATGAAGTAAATGCTGGCACAGGTTTGAGGAGGAGTACAAGGGTAAGAATTCAACCACGTCATTTACAGGATTATGTAACTCTTGCATCCATTGCTAGTTTTGTAAGTGAGTTAAGTGAATCTGGAGAAACAAATGATAACATTTGTTATGATAAAGTAGATTCAAGTGTTCTGAATATATGTAATGATGTACCGTTACTTTTTGATGACATTCAATACAGGAAGGATAAGAACAAATGGATGAAGGCTGTAAATGACGAACTTCAAGCATTGAATGATAATGAGACATGGGATTTAGTGAGCCTTCCATCACATAAGAAACCCATAAACTGCAAGTGGGTATTTACTGTAAAGGTTGATGCTGCAGGTAAAGTGGAAAGATATAAGGCAAGAGTAGTTGCCAAAGGATGTGCACAAAGACCAGGTGTTGATTATAACGAGACATATGCTCCTGTCGCTAGAATTACTACTGTACGTGTATTTTTGAGTTTAGTTAATAAGTATAACCTGTACGTACATCAGCTGGATGTAACATGTGCCTTTTTGAATGGAGATCTAGAAGAAGAAATATTTATGTGGCCTCCTCAAGGTTTGGATGTAAATGGAGATATAGTGTGTAAACTTAAGAAATCCCTTTATGGTCTAAAACAGGCACCCAAAGAATGGAACAAGAAATTTAATGAATGTGTGAAGTCAATTGGTTTTGATCAATGTAATGCTGACAGATGTATCTATGTGAGGAGGAAGGATAGAGATGTAGTGTATTTGTTACTATATGTTGATGATTTCTTGATTGCAAGTAATAATGAGGAACTGCTACATGAGATTAAGAATAATCTCATGCTTACATTTAAAATGAGAGATCTTGGAGAAGCTCTGTATTTTCTAGGCATTAAAATAACGAGATCTACTCATGGTTTATTCCTCTCACAGGAAAATTATGTAAAGAAAATTGTTCAAAAATTTAAAATGGACACTAGCTCAGCAGTCCAGACTCCACTGGAGCCTAGCCCAAATCTTGATTTGTCTGGATCTATAATTGTCAAAGAGAAGCCATATAGAGAGTTAATTG